TGCGCATTTACCACCGCGCACTTCCCCATCCTCCCGTCCCACCTCCGCTTCCAACTACCCCCTCCTCTTACTTCTCCACGCCTCCGTATAGTCTCTCGCCGACCTATCTCCTCGCTACGGCAATTTCAAAAAAGTGCATTTTTCAAAAAACCATAAGACTAAACTTCTCCTAACTGTACTCCTCCTCGGACGAGATGGAGAAAATCTATACGGTAGATGGAAACTGGGCGCGGAGCATTCTATGGTCCGATTCAGAGAACGTCATTTTCTTACGAATCACTAAATATCTACTGACCGATAATACTACTATTTTTTTTTTTTAATAATATCGAATTTTCAGCTACAACCAATTTGCCGTGTTATTGTCAGTTGAAAATGTATATGATAACAATTGGTGGAGCCAAAGCGTAAAGACTTTTATTCCATTTTCACAAGAGTGTAAATGATTTACATTCGACTCGAATGAGCCGCGTCGAGTTTTCGGACTGACGCTTTACGTCGTGATCGTGTAATTTCGCTTCGCAAGAGAAAATTCCGTTCGCTCGCCCGCTCATCCTACTCGGCAAAAGCTTTCGACGATAGTGTATGGAGCAGCCTGTACGCAGAAGCGCATGTAGTGGGGAGCGTGGGCGAGCGGGAGGTCGCGCGGTAAGGGGAGAAACAACGCGGTGCGCGCACTGTGTTCGCTGCTGGCAAGCGAGCGACGGTCGGAGAGCGACGAACGGGAGGGAGCGCGATAGCGGGAGAAGGACGTCGAGCCCGTAGTCGGACAAGGAGGGAAAGCATTACTCGTGCATGGGGCGTTACCACGGAAACCCCTATTCGTTCTCCATCCCTTCGCTCGCGCTCGTCAGGCAACGCGAGAGAACGAGGGAACGAGAAAGGGGGGGGGGGGCGGAGAGGGAGACGGTGACAGAAATAGAGAGACCGAAAGGACGACCGACAGAGAAAAAGGACGAAGCGCGCGCGAGAGAGAGGGGAAGCGAGTTGGTCGCACGAGTCGGTCGGAGAAGGAGCGAACGAGAAACAAAGAGGGAATGGGAAAGCAAGAGAGAGAGAGAGAGACAAAGAGGGAAGGAAAGAACGAGCGATGGGCTCGACGGTGGATGAGAGGGAGCGAGAGAAACGGCAACGTGATATCGAGAGGGGAGTGGGTGATGAACAGAGCGAGCGAGAACAGAGCGGAGAGCGAGAGAGCGAGTACTAGAGGAAGATAGCCGGCAAATGCGGAGCCGCCAGTGCAATCAACCCGTTGCCCACTCGCGAGGGTAAAACTATCCCGAAGTCAGACGAGGATACGTATATTGCGGAGGGAGTCTCGCGTACGTCACTGTATATATGTATCTATAATATATATATTATATATATATATATTAAATATATATATTTTATACTTATATATATTATATATATATATGTATGTATATGTATATATATATGTATATATAAATTGTATATACACCTATTTATATATATATGTATACGTATACGTGGGACGTCGAGTAAGTAGGAGATGTAGAGGGAGGGAATGAGCGCGCAGAGCGAGATAGAGACAGAGGATAAAGAGAAACGGGTGCCCGGAGTGGAAAAAAGACCAGGCAAAATTACAAGATTAGATGCCTGCTACCTGTAACGAGACTCTACCGATAAAGCAGCGCACTGCGTTAAAGATCTCGAGGCCATCATTCACGCGTGCTTTTTTAATTCGATCCGCGCTTCCAACCGCGACAACGATCCTCGACGAAGGCTGTCGACTCGCAAAACGCGAATATGCTCTCGAAATATAGATATTAAGATTTCACTCCGAGAGATAAATTTTCGTGAATTATTCGCCTTGTAGTAGCAACAAACGGCAGAGGGATGGAAGAGGAAAACAGGGTCATCGTCCATCCACTGTCCGCGTTAAACCCATTTCGGTGTCGTAATTGTGAAAACTTTGCTCCTCCTGTAGCATTACAAAACTCGCATTTTACATAACACGCTGTATACAGGAGAATATTATCGACATTTCTCTCACACGGTACCTATCGCGAGCCACGTTTGAGTAGATGAAAAAAACCCAAAGTCACTTTACAGAAAAGTCGTCCCCCGATAGATCTTTACGGAATCGAGCAAATTTTCCTTTTAGGAATAATCGACATACTTATAGCTACGATTGAGACAGAAACTTAAATTAAAGATATTGCTTTTGCGATGTTTCGCTCTATACATCCAATAATTTTAAATCAAATAACATTCCAAGACAATAATATTCCGTGTATCTTTTATTTTCCGAATTTTATTTTGATATTAATATCAAACTATAAAATTGAAATAATAATATTATAACAAAATGGACTTTTATTATCTCCAGAAATAAAAATTTTTCATATTAATGTTAATTTCGTAAAGTCTCTTCTATTGATATCGATTTTATAATAATTTCATTGAAGGGAGAAATTTCGAATTGATCGAAAAATCCATAAATGAAGAAAGAAATTAGATAATTTCGGAATGTGATCGATACTCTTTTGCATAATCTAGACTTTTACCTCATCTCGACAATTATGCACAAGAATTGATACGCGTCAAAGTTTTTCCTGATTTATGCCCCTATTCCGTCAAACGCGACTCGTACGTAACATATATGGATACGATGTTAAACTCATGCGCGAGGGTGTCGGAGCTTTCGTTCTTCGTGGCTGTTGTTGGTAAGGCGCACAGTTGCTCTATTCTCTTGAAACCAGTTTTCCTCCACATGACCGTCGGAGAAGGGCAGAGAGAGAGGGAGAGAGAGAGAGAACGAGAAGGAGAAAAAGAGATACTAAGAGAGGCCGAGAAAGAGATAGAAATAAGCGCGCGAGCGAAGGAGAGAGAGAGAGAGGGGGGGGAGGAGGGAGAAAGAGGTATACGCTCGCATGTGTGTATGCCCGCATGCACGCATGCACACATTCCCGGTGCGACTGTAAGTGCGTACGTCCACATACGTAGGACGTATACAGATACGCTTCTCGCTACATGCACGTCGGCTAAACTAGAAAGTTGCTCCGACCGACGTCGCGTCGGTCGAAGAAACGCTGCCCGTGCTAGAGCTACCTTTCGAATTTCAACCGCGAATATTTTCTACATATAAACGCCGCTCGCCACGTTATACCGCGCCGGACATGCGCGTCCCGGCGAACTGCAAAATTCGATCGAAACGCGCGCGCGCCGCACTCGATTCTCTCTCTTGCCGGCCGTGCGGCACTAGCTCACGTATAAAACAACGCGCGGGCGATCGAACGCAGCGTTTTCGAAAGCCCCCCGTGTTATCCGTTCCGTCCGCGTTTAGCTCTCTCGCGAGCGCGCGGCAGCGAGAGCTCGCCACGGATCGGTAGGTGCGATCGATCGAGCGTATATTTGGTCGGAAGCCAAACGATGCGCCGCCACACATACACACATCGCGTATACATAATATACCATTGCTACACGTTACACGCCGTATATAATGTACGAAGGGTTCAGTTACGCTTTAATATTTTATACCGCGCTGCCTCGTCTAAAAGCGTTACGATTGTAATTGAAGTCGAAGCTTGACTTTTACGCGTAGCGAAATTGTTAAATTGTTTCTACTGGGGAGTAGCACTTATAAATGCTCTCTGCCTTTATTTCGAAATCTCCCCCCCACCCTCTCGCTTCCTCCTCCCCCCCCCCCCC